CGTGTCGTAAAAAACAAATCAAACAAAAAACAAAACACAAAAAACTTATGCTTTTCTTATACATAACAAGAGTTTAATTAATTTAAACTTTTGTTTCAAACTTTTCATTTGATTTCTATTCACGAAAAGCTTTCCACTCGGAAAACGCTTGATTTGGCTATCATTTGACGTATAAATAAATTGAATATTGTTTGTGTCAAACAATTAACTGGATAAAAATCAGACAATTAACTACCAGGGTAGCGGGTAATTACAATTTAATGAAAAAATTAATACATTTTTATTCACAGAATACATGTAATGATTACAAAAAGTATATTAAATATATTAATTACAAACAAAAAATACGATAAAATTCATAATAAATCTCATAATTACGAGACAATTAAGCGACTGAATCGAGACATGAAAACATAGTATCAATGATAATGACCATCAGTTTACAGACCACTATCGGCCACACCTACCGACACACCGCTAAAACGCCAACTTCTTCATCAACAGATACACGTGCTTATCGGTCTCGAAACCGTGCAAATTGTTGGGATCGCCCTGTAATCGCATCAGTAGCCCACCGAACGATACATAAGCGGCCAGTCGTGTGGCATCGGACAGGCCATCATCGCCTTCTATACGGTATATCTTTCCGTACATCACGTACTCGAAGGCGTCGGCTCGCGAGGAGGTCTGCTCATTGCCCGTCCACTCGCCGTCATCCGGGTAGCCGTCCTCGCGGAGGGTACTGGCGATCACGAGCCGGAACTTGTCGCCCAACTCGATGGGGTAGACCTGAATGTTCACATCTAGGATCAGGTCCATCTTGAATGACTCGGACTCGCAGTGCAGTCGCGACACTCTGTCGAACTTCTTGCCCTCCGGGTCCAGGTCTTTCACGTCGAATATGTCCTCGAATAGTACGCCGGCCATCGCGGGATCAGTTGTGTGGTGATAGTCAGCGGTGTATGTCTTGAGCGCGAGGTATGGGTGGGTTTAGGAGCCGATTGATTACCGGATCGGATCAGTGGCGATGTGTGTGTGGTGTCAACGGGTTCGCGAGTTGATTGTTGAGGTGTTCGTGTCGACCAATAGGTATGATAATTGATTGCCGGATCAGTTTGGCGGTGATAATGAAGTACTCATTCAAAGGACATGTGTTTTTGAAAAGCAAACCAAACGCTCATCGAATGCATGCATTGAATGCGGAAAACCACATAAAACGTGCGGCTTTTCGCCCGCACTATGAAACACAATACAAAACAAACAAAAATAATAATTAAAAACCTTTTTAATCAAACAAATCGTTATTTAAAACCAATTTTAAACCCATTTTACACTTAAAACACATTTAATTCACTAAAAACTAATCAAAATTAACCCAAAATTAACTCAAAACTAACTCAAAACTACCCCAAAGTCTATTGACGTAATGACTGTACGGTTCACTCAAATCGGTGTTTACATTGACTATCGCTGTGAAACACCCATTCATTAGATGGTAAGCTATTTGCGGACCCATTCCTCCGCATATCACTGGCCATCGCGATGTCCAACCCTTTCGGCGACTCCGACGACGATGAGAGCGCCGGTCGCTCGGACGAGGCGGCCGTCAAGGAGGGCCTCTTGTGTCCCGTTTGCCTCCAAGACCTCAAGACGATCACCGATTTGAAGGATCACTTCGACGCGAACCACAAGAATGAGTTCATATCGTCGGCCAATCACAGCAGCAAACAACAGATCGGTTCCCAACTGAAAGGGCTCATCAACAAGACGAAGAAGATCCTGAAGAATGATGCCGTGGATGAGACACAGGAGCCGTCATCGGTGGCCAACGCAAACCCCGGCTACTCATACGTCGACCACTGGAGGCGCCAAATGACTATAGGTTTGACTCATTGATAGCCTAAGACGTGGATCTCATTGAGTGATGAATCTGTTATATCTTTAGGTGAGACACGCAATCACTTCGACCACTTCCGACGGATCCGAGACTCGCGTATCGAGCGCTATGTTATGGAAACCAATAAACTGCTCATCAGATTAGATAAACTGATTACCGATGCGCCCAAAGAGCCGGAGAAGCGTAAACTCCACGAGAAGACAGTGGTCTTGTGGGCCAATGATGATGACGTCCGGCTGTGTCCGAACTGCGCCAAGAGTTTCAATCTTAGCCGCCGTCGACACCATTGCCGACTCTGCGGTGGGATTATGTGTCACAACTGTTCCCAGTTTTTGGACTTTGTTTACGCGCGTAAGTCGTCGCAATGGTTTTGCTGAGATAATTGTGACCACCGATTGTCTTGAGACTCTTAAGGCGTTGTGTTTACTGTTAATCTCCATGCCATCAATGGTGTATAGATTACGATATTGATTGGCTGCCAATAGTCTGAAGACTCTTAAGATAATGGTTTTTGATGTGAATGTCTGACTGAATGTCTATATCTTGTGTCCCAAACTGTAGGCAAAATCATTAGTCCCACGAATTTAGAGGAGAGTAGCCTATCGTTGCTGCCGAAGACAAACCTTAGCCGTCGAGGAAGTAGTAGTAGTTTGCTGTCGATTGTCAACTCGAGTGGCGATCCGCACATCAGAGTCTGCGGCGACTGTAAGACACTGTTAGACCGGAGGGACCGGCAGATCGAGGACAACACGT